TCATATTATTATGACATTTTGCAATTATGTAAGAGATTTAATCACGTGATGACCGAGTCCGAACAAATAATACATTTATTACGTGGGTTAAAACCATCCATACAACACCATGTTATTATTAATGATCTCAAGCAATGTACAGATTTATTAGAACAAGCAAAACGAATGGAAGCCGCGACAACACTCACCCAACCAACAGTCACACCGACCACTGAAACAATGGAAGAAAGCACCACAGCTGCTCTTCGCCGAACAAACAATACTCAAAATTTTCGTCGAGATGAGTATTATAATCGAAATTATCCCCGTTATTCAAATTATGATCGCCGATGGCCACAACAACAAAATTCCGTTACCTATCAACAGTCTCCATATTCAGATTCATCTTAACGAGCTGATTACGAATAACACCTTTCGAGCCTTCAAAAGCCATTTCTTCACGGAGAAAAACTCAAATTACTAAGAGGACCTCAAAAATACAAAAAACCGTCATCTATGGTGGAATTGACTTTTTGAGCTTGTACTGCAAGATGGAAGGTTCGAACTATATTTTTCTAAATCAGCATTGAAAACTGATTTAGAAAAAGGTTTCCAGCTCATTTCAGAGGTATTTTATTCACTTTTGATCAAGTTTTCGGGAAAAATCTTCAAAATACCGAATACCACCCGAAAAGTGAGATTTTGACACTGTCGAAGTAAACTTCAAACTTCAAATTTGATCCAGTTACATAGGTTCTCGTTTTCTCAAACACACATATTCGGATTCAGCAGCTCAAAAGGAGTCTAGCCATGTAAGTTTGAGAGTATTATATCTATTCTAGCCCCTGAGCCAGATGGCCTAAGTACGTCCATGGCCATTTTGAGACCTCTGTGCGCCAAACCTATGTAGTCTTTTGCATTAAAAGCTTTCCCCAACAATTATACATCATTCGAACCGCCATTAAAAGGCGAACAAAAGCATGCATGCGTTCGAAAAACTTTCGCTTCCTCGTGGAGAAAAGACTACTTTACTAGCAGAAAGGCGTAGCATTCGATTTCGCGTTTTACCTGTTCATACAAATTTGATCTAAACTTAATCCTAACTTCCTTCCATAGGTAAGAAATCATGTAGAATGCAACGGTAACACTTAGAGATAACTGCCTGGCTCACAGATTCGAGAAACATTTGAGAATTTTGAGAAAAATGTGCATTTCTTTGCCATACAACTCGGTTTCTGCAAAAACGGAGTTGTATGTGGATCTTCTCCGGCACGTAGAGCCGAATGCACGTCGGAGAAGGCTTTGACTTACTTTCTTTTTCTTGTTGATTTTTTTAAATGTGTGATTTTTGAAATTTTTTATATATTTTTTCATATTTTAAGCTTTTTTTAATTTTTTTTGGGCGTTTTCTTAGTTTTTTTACTTTTAGTTCTTAACTTTTCTGTTTACGCCAAAACCTTAACACCGAGGATGAAAACAAAATCAAAAAATTAAGAAAAAGCCCAAAAGAATAAAAAAAATAAAAATAAACCAAAAAAATAAAAAAAGCAGTTGAGTCAACCGGGTTGATCCAAAACCAAGCGTTGAAGCCTTGGGGACTTAATCACCTTGTGAATCACCTTTCAATTCTTCATTAGTGAAGCCTACTCAGTACGCTCAGTGGTTTTATGCTCATTGTGGAAATTCGGGTTAAGATATCCACGGACATAAAATTAAGCCATCAAGTTCAGAGGTGTTTAGTATATGTAAAGTATGATATTGAAGTCCATAATGGGTATGTATTTCTGAAATTTCCGATGCTGTTGATAGTTGACGTATATGCACACAGTGGACATTTTTGGCTTAAGCAGACGGACATGTAACTTTTCTGCTCGGAAACGGGTTTCTTTTGCTCAGAAGTGATTGTATGTCATTCATAAAATCACCTTCAAGAAATCAAGTATCAAGTTTTGAAAAAAATTTTTTCGAAAAAATGTTTTTCTCCGAAAATGTTTTGTGCCATATATCATCTAACGCAGTTTTATACGCTGATTCCGAATATTACGTTACTTTTTAATAAAAAGGTTTTCTTGACCGTGAAAAATGGAAAATACCTGGAAATCCTTCTAATTTTTGGAAAATCCATAAATCTACTTTGGCAAATTATAGCAAAATTTCTTTTGTTAAAAAATTATAGCAAAGTTCTTCCGAACAAGCGGTATCCTTAGTTTTTGTGATTTGAAGACCCCAAAAAAGGTCAAAATATAGGTAATCGACTGTCTGAACGTTGTGACGTTGTAAGTTTTACACAAAAAAGAGTTTTCAGTGTGTTTGCGACACTAAAATTCTTTGTTTTACTTTGTTTGCACTAAGATTCTGAATGTTTTTTTTCAATATTTTTCTTCCTATTTAATTTAAATTTAAATCAACATTAAATATATGTCCCGTCCGTGATTAACATAGCCACGTCATTTTTATTTCTTGCTAATAATTGTGCAGGTAATGGTCCGGTATGATTATTAATTAGTTATTCACACGTTAAAGGACCGAAGGCTAAAACGTTTATGGACAAAAGGTTTAACTATAGCCGCTACTCGAGCGCTATCAGTCACTCGACTGACACCACGTTTTGTTTTCAATCAGAATACAGTGGAAGAACTTGATCGGAGAAGCCCAATCTGGCGATGAAACCTTCCTAACTGTTCGACTGCTTCGAATATCGAAGCATGGTCGGTAACCTTTAATCCACTAGCTTTGATGAGAAAAGCGATTGAACAGTTAGGGACGTTCCCTCGTGAGCTTTGTTAAAAGACAAACAATGGCTGTCCATGGAGTTCGAACATCAAGTTGACGAGGTGAATATGATGAAATTGCAGAACGTAGGTATAAACATAGATAATGTCCCGTTTCGACTGGAGTGACCCAGATGTGTATTATATCTCCAATGGTTTTTACTTTTGAACACTTAAAAAAATGTTTACAATACACAGTGACTGCCTGGCAACTAACCAAAATCTAAGCTCCTCGAGCGAATTAGGCTCAAGAGTCAATGTTATCAGCCTCTACCTCTGGAAATGTGTACGCGTGTGTTAAATCCATCGCTATTGCTAAAAAAGCTGAGCAGTGACATCACTTCGATCCCTAGTAAAAATCTTAGACACTTCTTAACATTATCTTACTAAGATCTTATAAGATCTTATCCTTTAAGATTTTGATAAGATAATCTACGATCTTATCGTTTAAGATCTTAATAAGATTTAATGAC